GTATTAGGAAAAGAAATTCAAATTATCACATTTAATTATATGCTATAAAAAAAAAAGCATCACTTTTTTTTAGTGACAATTAAATTAGATGTGAGGTAGTAAGTTGAGGAGATGTTAACATTTATGTCAACATAAACCAAGATTCAAAAATAAATTGTTGTTTAAACATATCGACAAAATGTCACAATATGGTGGATATTGCAATCCAATTATTATTTTTTTAACCAAATGCGGACATTATTTTTTGCGTATCAAAGAGAAAAGAAAGCGTTCGTAGACTTTAGAGCTGTATAATTTGCGCTTTTCCACAAAGTAAAAGCAGAGAAGAAATGAGAAAAATAATTATAATTTTATACATGCATGTGTAGTAACTGCGAAAGCTACCCAAAAGCACTTTTGAAAGCAGCAATTCCCAAATAATAATTCAGAGGCGGGTTGGTGATTTCTTGCGGGCAAAGATCAATAGTGCCATTTTTTTCATGTATAATGAAAGTTGGCTGTATACTTAAAGGCTCTCAAAAAGCCAAGGTTTTAGGTAATTGTTAAGTGGAGTGTGAAATTTGGGCAATTGCTAAACAGATGTCACCTTTTCAACTTGCCTTTGGCTTCTTCCAACTCTCTACATACTAAATGCATCTCCAAGTGTAATATTTGTTTTTGATTATGTCTAATATACTGTTAAATAGTACCATGTTTAAGTTATGGATGCGCCCCTAAGTTAATGCTAGGTATTAATTTATTAACCAATGTAAGAGACAATTGTTTTTGATATAGAAAATAATTTGTATATTTTATGATTCAATTTTTTTATATATTTATTTAGTTTAATAATTAAAATTAATATAAATATAATTGATCTAATCAATTTCTATATGTTGTATATATGATTATATTTTTTAATTTATTTATTTTTAATTGTAAATAAAAAATAATAAATTTTTAATAATTATATTGTATAATATATTAAATTAAAATATATACTAATTAATTAATGTCCTTCTGGTATCACAAGTAGTATTTCTGTATGTGTCATCCCTAATGGGAACAACTACACATATTAGCACATCGCTATACATAATTATCCCATTGCATATAAAGAAGAATTTTTCCATCTAGTTTTTACGGCATAACTACAAAACCATGTACTCTTATTAATATTTAGTACCAAATATTTTTCAAAATAACACTCAAGTACAATGTCTGGCGACTAATTCGGTTAGAGTGCGGAGTATATGCGTACACATATTTTGCAATTTGCAAAACAAAAACGTGGGACATGGATGACTCATAAATTATAAGAAAAATGTTTTGGAATTAATCGAAATATGTCATTGGTAACTTAATTCTTAGAGATTCTCTTTATTTTTATGAGATAATTATTTTATGATTTTGTACAAATAATATATTTTATAAATATTAATAAAAAAAGTTCCTTAATAAATTAAAAAATTTATTTTTATTAATAATTATAAAATATACAATTAATATTAATACAAAGTGAAACAAGGTGAAGCACGAATTGCATATTATTTTTTTAGGGAAATGTTTTTTTTTTACAATTTTTTTATCTCACTTTTTGTACAACTTAATGTGTTATTAAAATGATTGATTTTTTTAATTTATATAAAATTCATAATATTGAATGTATCTACTCATTTAATGATATGTAAAAATTGTATAAAAAAATAAAATAAAAAATTATCCTTATAATACTATCTTTTTTTTAATATATTCACTACTGTTGTTTCTCTTGTTGGAATTTTTGTTTGACTTGTGTTGTCACTGCATGTGCTTGGAACTCGAAGTGGT